CCTCATCCAACAGTTTTCTTTGTAGCCCACAGATTAATAAAAATAACCACAAACCTACTATAACTGCATCAATAAAAAGCTTTTAATGAGTAGAGGCATACCACATTAAGCTACTGAAAGTTTGTATGCAAGAGTGGTCGAGGAGATGATGAAGGGAATAGTCAGAAACAAATCTCTATGGTGATCCAAGCAGGAGGAACTTGAACCTAAGACCTTGACCAATAGTTGGACTTGTGTTACTCCCAAACAGGCTGTCTTTTTGAGAGATAAGGGAAGGGTAAACAGTAATTTTTATTGTGCAACCTGTGTTAAGGGGGCAGTTTTGAGATTTTCATGGGTATTCACTGAATATAGACTTTGCTTCAAAGTTAATTTATTCATTTGTTATTTTATTCAGAGCCATCAAAATGCAGCTGCAGAAATCAATGAATTTTTGGTGACAGTGTTGAACTTTTCGCCATCGCTGACAATCACCTTTTTGAACTTTATTTTACCATTGCTTTTCAATGCTTTGTCAAATGTTGAAGATTGGAGTCCTCGTTTTGAAGTGAATATCAACTTGTTTAGGTAAGATGTGGTTTAAAAATTCAAGGAGTTCATTCTTGCTGTAATTAATAATTGAAAAGCATTTTTTGAGAATGAGCAGTAAGAAGAAGTAAGCCTGCAAAAGTCGCTAAGTAGAAGGAATCTCACAGAAGGTGCTTTTGTCAGCATTTTTGTTGTATTTTGTTTTGTTTTGTTTATTTTTCCTTTTTCTGTTTTTTGGACTTCCAAAGTATTGCCCAATATGTTGGTCAAATAGAAGTAAACCATTAAAAAAAAGACATACAAACAAAATGAGAAGAAAAAATACAAAAGAGGCGATAGGAAAAAATTAATGAGGAGTTTTAAAGACAGATGTAACCTTTAAGTTACAAACAGCAGTTCTTCACAAATTTATGTATGTCATTTGACAGGTTCTTTTTTACTGGTCGTTGGCTCTAACAACTGGTTTGGATGAAAGTAAATCCCCAATCTTAAATATAGCTGGAAAAAGATATCAGCACAATTGTAACAAATATTATCTAATAATCTTTTGCAGGACTGTGTTGTTAAGGTTAGCATCTATAGCTGTACTGATGATCACACTCTATGTGGATGTGGAAACCAGATGTGATGAAGACCAAAAGAAGTGTTGCCAGCAGGTCAGCATTCCATTTACAAAATAGTACTGTTGTGTGAAAACAAATATTTCTGTAATCCACTGTCTAAGATCTCTAGCATAATAATAATAATAATTTACATTTCTAAAGCGCTAAAATTATAAAATATTCTAAAGCGCTTTACAACATTATTAACTACAAATATTAAAATGATAAACGACAAAATATCAAAACAAACTGTAAGCCAGCTTGAATAGATGTGTCTTAAGCTTTGACTTAAAAATCGTTACACTTGGACTGTTTCGAATTTCAAGCGGCAGTTCGTTCCACAAAAAAGGTCCAGAACGGGCAAAGGCACGATCACCAAAGGTCTTAAAGTTAGTTCTTGGGACCTTAAGGAGACCCTGATCGCAGGAACATAGCTGATGACCCTGGACGCTGTGTGGCTGCAGATATTCTTTTATGTATAGTGGGCCTTGGTTATTTAAAGCTTTATAAATTAAAAGTAACAACTTAAACTGGACGCGATAAGCCACAGGAAGCCAGTGAAGATTATATAAGGCGGACGAGATGTGGTGAAACTTGGGAATCCTAAAAATTAGTCGAGCAGCGGCGTTAAGCACCTTCTGAAGACGCTCTGTCTGGTACTTGGGTACGCCAAATAAAAGGGAGTTGCAATAGTCTAAATGCGAAGTCACAAATGCGTGACTTCATACTTGTTGACCTAATGGTTAGAGTAAACTGGGTTTTGAGTGGAAAGGTCTAGGGTTGAGACCATAGGCCAGAGTTTTGTGTTGTGTTCCTGGGCAGTACACTTGGTTCCTAGAGTGCCCTGCCACCAAGGAATACAAATTTATAAATTGGTCCCAATGTATTGTCAGGGGACAGTGATGAAATATGAGGAGGAGAGGGGGCGGGGGGGTGGAGTAGCATCCTATTCAGGGAAAATAGCAGTATTCTTAGAAACTTGGATGAACTCTAGATAGATGGGTCATTTGGCTCAAGTGCCAACTCCACCTTTTGCCTTTTACTGCTGTTCATGGTTATACAACTGAGGATATGATTGTAATTTTTAATACCTTATTTGTTGAATAGAACTGGGAAAACCAGATTGCCTCACAGATGTACATGTTGATATGGATTGATTTTTTCCTGCACATTGCTGTATCTCTTGTGGGTACAACGGTTTGGAGGCAAGTAGAGTCCATATTTCAGTTTAATTAATTATTGAATTGTTAAAAGTTACTGTAAGTTTAAAAACCAAATCATCAGTCAATTTCAGTAGCTGTTTAGTGAAGAGCCTGCCAGAGCCTGTGAACTAGCTCTAAGCTACAGATAACTAGTTTTGGATTTCTCTTTATACTGCCATCAGACAATATTAATCATGATGGCCAAGTGAAAGGAGAAACAAACATGAGTGGATGTAACCCATCCTATCCCAAACAGAAACATGACCTTTTGAACCCTCAGTTTGTAATTGTAGGTTGAAAGACGAAATAAATCTCAATTCTTTCAAGCCTCCCCGTCTTCTCAATTTAATTTAATTTAATGATAAGTTCTTAATATATAGCGCATTAAAATTGAACTCTATGCGCTTTACAATTACAATAAACAAAATTTCAATAAAAATCCTATACATGCAATTATCGATACTCTATCTAAACCAATGAAGTATTATGTGTTATACATTATATTTGACAATGTACGATATCAAAAAATATGGTGGCTTTATTTTTGAAAAGATAAGTTTTCATTAAGCGTTTAAAGGAGTCAACAGATTCAGCGTTTTTTATGCATTCAGGTAATTGATTCCACAAATACGGTGCAGCGTAGGAGAATGCTCTTTGCCTATACGTTTTAGTGCGAATTGTTGGGACCATGGATTGCCTTGAGGGAGTTGAGATTGAATTTACTTTAGTTATTTATTGTACCTTCAAGGTTGATTGATTCTTGTGTAATTAATTATAGGATAGATTTTCATAGAAATATTTTAGCATTAATGTAGTTTCTCTGAAAATTTTTGTTATGTAAATGGCCCACTGGAAGAGCATTTTTAATTTTTAATGATGTGATACAGTCAGTAAAGCTTGATTGATTGATTGATTGATTGATTGATTGATTGCATGGTTATATTATTGGGAGGCATGGCAAATCTCATTTTTACAAATGCTTCATACAACTTCACAACTCATAGGATACTGAAATGTGAAGTATGTTGTTAATGTTGAGCTGCAGTGTGTATTGCTTTATTTGATTATTGATTTTGTTATTTATTTGGCAGACTGTTGTACAAGTATACATCCTTTTTCAAGAGATTTGGCTTGCCTGAATTTGACATCCCAAAACAGGTTCTACAGCTTGTTTATGGTGAATGCTTGATTTGGTAAGTTGCTTGGTTTTTCATCAGGTGTTATATTAATTATGATAAGTTTAATTGTATATGTGTTTTATTAGGCTCAGATTTAGATGATATATTGGAGTACAGATGCATAAATGATGTCACTGTTAACAACATTTTGCTTTTTTATCCTACAAAAACCATATACCGGTATTCCATGCTGTCATGAGTCACAGAAAAGGTCAAAATACTATGCATGGGAACATCTGAGTGCATACACTCTCAGCTGTGCCTCATTTACCACATTTTGATGTCATCTTTGATCTGTTACTGAACTTGTTTATAATCTGTTGGTATCATTCTTTTATCGATGTTGGTAATGCTTTGTGCTCTGATTGGTTTGCAAATTATTTCTAATGAATGTTCTCCAGTAAACTTAATTGTTTAAAGTGTCAATTTTTGTGAATTAATTTGATATCTTAATGCTTGCAGGATTGGGACCTTCTTTAGCCCCCTTTTGCCAGCAATGGGTGTTGTTAAACTTTTCCTGGTGTTTTACATCGAAAAGGTCTGTCAATTGTCTATTCACCTAGATTCATGAAGATAAAATGAATCGTTTATGAATGAGTTGCTTTTGGTCTCTCAGTGAGGTGCGTTGGCAGAAATTATAATCAAAATACACTCATCATTTTTAACTCCCCCTCTTTATAGGTGGCCCTGATGTTCAATAACAAGCCATCAGACAAGGTTTATCAAGGAACACGCTCAAATTATCTGTTTACAGTTTTACTGCTGATCTCCTTCCTCATGTGTCTTATTGCTGTTGGTTGGGGAATAACAAGGTGAGCTGTTGTCAGTGAATTTAGTGCTTTTCTTTCTGTGTAATCCCAATTAAGCTACCAGTTCAAGTTTTTTAGGCCTTTGACATAAGTGTAAGCAGTTCCTTTTTCAACTTAACCACAGGTGGATTTTGCTATCATATGATGATTAACAATTATTGGATGAGGTTGAGCATGATAGCAATAATTATCGAGGCCAAAGTCTTGCGTTATCTGCAGAAGCGGAAGGCTGAGGCGGATAACACAAACTGAGGCCTTGATAATTATCACTATGATCATGTGATAACCAAATTTAACAATTGTTTCATTATGCAAATACCTGAGTGCATAAAACTATTGTCTACAGCTATGATGTCACTTCTAGAATATATAAAATCTATTGTCTGTAGGTATGACTTAAGAGAATGTATGATAATAATGATTTAAGTGCTGTTGCCTCTAAACTTTCCTGTTTAGGTCATTTTAATCTAGTATCCTTCCTTAACTCCTTTACTCTCAAGATTTCATTATCAATTCTGTCTGTTGTCTACCCTATACAGTAAAAACCCGCATATAAGAACATATGGATTAAGAACACCCAGGCTGAAATTTGGTAAAAAAAAGGAGCATAAAATATTTTATAAGAACACATTCAGCCTGAAAATTGAAAATTGTTCTTAAATATAAATTATATAAAAACTCTTCTCTATTCAGTTTAATAGAACAAACAGTGTCTGTAGCTTTACTGTGGTATTGCATTAAGATCTCTGTATAAATGCTAGTAATTTCACTTGCTGTGTCTAGCAAATGTACAACAACTGTATTTGAAATTAAAAGTCTTATAATTACAATTATTATAAGTTATGAATTTCATCATAGTTAGTAAATCCCTTACATTTTTTTAGAAGTAAAAAATTAAGAACACTTGAGAACACTTTCAGGCTGATTTCACCTAAAATACCCAATATATATTAAGAACCCAATCAGCTTGAACCCTGGAAATGGGTGTTCTTGTATGCGGGTTTTTACTGTAACTCTCACGATGCTAGTTTGGAGAATTTGGTGTTGGATCAACTATCTTTATATTTGTTCACATCACTTGAATGTTTGCTTGATATTGTAAGGAGAAATTCTGTCTTGGTCTCTCATGGGAGTTAAGGGCTAACTTCACTGACAGTAACTGTAAAGTAACACAAAAGTAACATTTTGTGAACTAATGCCAAAAATCTTTTCTTTTGTTATTGTCCAGGGTGAGGCCTTCATGTCAAGGACCATTTAGGTATTTAATATTTTTATTATTGACAAACAAAACTATTAAATTAAGATGTTAAAATTGAAGCTTCAAATTATTTAGGGAGTTTCAACTTAATTTATGTCACCCCTTAAAATTGACTGTCTGTAATGTTCCAAGAGCACAGGCAACCGCCGCCTGGTTAGCTCAATTGGGAGAGCGCCGGACTGCTGTGCGGGAGGTCGAGAGTTCAATACCGGCCGGACCAACACTCAGGGTCTTAAAATTAACTGAGAAGAATATGCTTCCTTTCTTTAACATCAAGAAATGGTTAGATATTCTAGTCTTCTCGGATAGGGACGAATAAATGGAGGTCCCGTCTCCTGCAGGGTTAGGGGCAGGAGACGTTAATTTCCCACGCACGAGATTACTGTGTGATGGATGTCCTCCCCTGGGGTGGGTTGGGTGGGTAACAGGACCCCCGTTGATACCAGTGTTTACTACACTGAAGGGGCTATCCTGTATAAATATAGATGTATGTATGTCTATGTCAAAATCATTTAAGAAATCCAATTATTTTATGTAAAATTGAATGGGTTTTTCTCTTTTCCAGCAATTCAGACTGTAATCCAGACAAGCGAATTTTTGATGTTTTGAGTACAGAGATTGACTCTTGGCCACAAGCAATCCAAGAAATTATAAGATACATTGGTACAGCAGCATTTATTTTCCCAGTTCTGATGGTAATCTGGTGAGTAGGCCATTGAGTATTAAAATTATGAAGATGTGAGTGGTTGGTTATTTATGACAAGGCAGCACCAGTGTTATGATCATAACTCCACCATTTTTGAGTTTTGAACTGTCTTAAACAAAAACATCTAGTTTATGTGATTGTATCTTACCTACACGTGTTTTCATTTTGTAGCTTGATTCTGTACTACTTCAGATCTATGTCAAAGTCTCATTTACACATGATTGAAATGCTGAAAGATCAGTTAGTTCTGGTAGGTTGATGATTTTTTGTTCAATTGAGATTTTAATAATACCTTCTGTAAAGGTTACTTTATCCATCCATAATAAATTTGTCAGGCAGTCATGACAGGGTAGGCAGAGAGTTGGTCTTTGTATCAGCTATGGTGATGATTGGTCAGTAATTCAATCAGTTGGTCAATCAGCCAGTAAGTCAATCAGTTGGTCAATCAGCCAGTAATTCAATCAGTTGGTCAATCAGCCAGTAATTCAATCAGTTGGTCTGCAATCAGCCAGTAATTCAATCAGTTGGTCTGCAATCAGCCAGTAATTCAATCAGTTGGTCAATCAGCTAGTAAGTCAATCAGTTTGAGTTAGTCAAGCGGTCAGTCAGTCAGTCAGTCAATCAGACAGTCAGGCTGAGTCAGGCAGTCAGGCAGTCAGGCAGTCAGGCAATCTGCTAGTTGGTAATTCAGTTTATTTAATGTTTAATCAATCAACCAAGGGTCCAAGCCCAGTTTTTTTTGTTTTTTTTTTTTCAAACTTAAGTTACTATTTAGCAACTCAAAATCTTAAAATGGTTGGTGGAAAAATAAATTGAACCACCAGATGAAATTAGTGATAGAAAAAGACACGTACACTGTACTGCTAGAACTAAGGATGTTGTGAGGCTCTTGACTACTTGACTGTCTGAACATCCAAAGAGACAGAAGCAAAGTTTAATGTTTCAAAAGAAAAAATGGGAGGATTTTATGGAAATGTTTACCTACAGTCCAGACTGTGAAGTCATCAGAAAAAATATTATATGTTCAAAATATTGTGTTTGATTTGTAGGAGGGTAGGGACAAGAGGTTCTTAATGGAAAAACTGATGGAGGGTGATAAGCCTGCTGGTGATTTAGATGATGACACATCTTCAGGGGAGACACAGCACACTTCTCTTCGACCGTCAAGCAATGCACAGTTCTAATGGAAGTAGATTATTACATTATTTATTCTCTTGTCATCACAGTTTCCTGAAACATTTCTTAGTCAGTGTCAGTCTATAATATTGTATGTGGCTTTCTTTAATGGTATTTTTCTCCTTGAGAATTTTGTCGGCTAATTATTTTGAGATTGGGTAGTGTTAGTTATTATTTATGAAAAAGTAGCTCTATTGGAGGTTTGCCTTACTTTGGGATACGTTAAGTGGACATGTAACAAAGCAGTTCAGGAACCATTGTAAATATTAATTTTATTTCTTATCAATCAGAGTGAAGGCTGTATGATGATTCTACATATTGTAACATTGAAAGTACCAGAATTTGTATAGTAGTTGACTGGGTGTGTGCTAGGCCAGCAGTGCATAAAGTTTTAATTAAGCACATACAATTATTAATAATATTAACTAAGTGATAAGGTTGGCTGGGATTAGATTTAGCTAAAGGTCGTGACTTATGCATGGACTAAGCAGAATGCAGTCCAGATGGTATAACTACATGTTATTGATAAAGTAAACTCTCTCTTCCCCCCCTTTTACCTTGCATTTTGCAGATCAAGGGACTATTGATTGGTCCCTATGGCTTTCTTGTACCTTTGATCGTGCCTTTGAGTGCAGCCCTAGTTTGGGGATTTTTTTTAGTGAATGTTTTCTATACAAGCATGTACAGGAAAAAACAGCCCACTGGATAGTAACCAACAATTTTTAGCTGACTGACTGTAAAGACGTCATTCAATGTTACAGTAGCTCCATGTACTGTGACTCCAGATCACAGCAATTTTACTGCTATATATGATAGCAGATATTTCATTTTGATAGATTATGCTATTTAAATCTATGAAAAGCTAACTAAAGGCAAAAGTGATGAACAAAGATTATTGATGGTAAAGCTTGAAAGTTTTTGCAGGAAATTGTTCAACATTAGCTTTTTGGTGTGATGCAGGTTACTTACTAATGATCTAATTTCAGAGATACTTCAGTGCAGGTTTGACAGTTATACAAGGTTGAACACTGTTACCTAGGGAAAGGAAGTCAAGAAATTTGAAACTCAATTTCCACATGAACATGTTGGTAATATTTCTAAAGCATGTTAAAAAATCTTTAGATTGAAGTGACTTATTTGGTCTTCAAATAAAGGTGCATTTTGCATTTAACAAAAATGTTTTCAGGCATCAAGGTTGAATTGCAGTGGCCTTCATGTCATAACTGTACTTTTAAGTCATTACTGGGAAAAACCCAGCCTAAGAGTGGAAAATAAGTGCTCTTTGTGTTACTCTGTAATTCATACACAAAGAATCATGCGTGTGCAAATTTGTTTATTGTCAGTTTGGTTACTAGACATGAGGCATTTTGAAGATAATAATGAGTATTTTTCTACAGTAGAGGTTTTCTATTTCAGACAGTATGTAATTTGTATGTTTACATATTTATAATGCACGATTAGATTTTGTGCAGTTGTGTACATATATCTCTTCATCGTGTTGTCAGTACAATTATTTCATAGTTGTAGCTGACAAAATTAACTGACTTGTGTGTGCACCTTGATTGCAGCTTATTACTGTCTTAAGGTTTACATTATTTCTAAATTCTTGCATGTGATAATTATGTCTTCTTCAGGGTCTTAAAGGAGAGTTATACTCCAGAAACCATGGTATTTTTACCTCCTCTATTGACTTGAATAGCACTATTTGTACAACATTTTAAGACAGAATCTAAAACTGTTTGAACATGTAAAATTTTATTAAAGTGCACCTAAACCCAAACATATTTTTTCCCTCAACGAAATAGGTGTATTTTTTGGAGTATTTCTGTGCAAAACTTTTTTTATTTGCTCAAATCTTCAATTTTCTGTGCCCAGTCAAAGTACGGAAAATCGGCCGCCATCTTGCCCCACGACTGAGTTTAATGAAAAATGGCTCTAGCGGGTAATGTGATGTCAAATCAAGAACATGAAAGTCTGCATTTCACACATTTTCACTTGTTTGGAAAGATTGTAGTCAATATTTTCCGAAAATATGCTGACTAAGTGTGTTGTAGGAGGATGTAGCAGCGTGTGAAATTTGCAAGAGGGTATCGCGCTTCATACATTCCTCATACAACACACCTAGTTGGCATATTTCAGACAATATCGACGACAACCTTCCCAAACAAGTGAAAATGTGTGAAATCCAGACTTTCATGTCCTCGATTAATTTTGACGTCACATTACCCGCTAGAGCCATTCCTCTTTAAACTCGGCCGTGGGGCAAGATGGCGGCCGATTTTCCGTATTTTGACTGGGCACAGAAAATTAAAGATTTGGGCAAATTAAAAAATTTTTGCATAGAAATACTCCACAAAATAAGCTTATTTCGTTAAGTGAAAAAAAAAAAAAAATTGGGGGTTTGGGTGCACTTGAACCCTTATAGCAATAAAATATTGCAATTTCTGGACTGGGACATACTGTCTTTAATTCACATAACACCTTGGTAATAAACCTTAAGCCTTAGTTTGTAATTTGAATTGTAAATAATGGATGGTTTAAGTAAGATTCCTTTGGTAAGAATCTTCTTTACTTTTGACTCCTTAAAAACCTGTACACTAAATCCCAAGTCTCTTGTAATCTATTTAATGATGGTTGTGTGTGTCCCTTTGGTTATTTTCACAATCATTTACCTTGGTTGTACAAAAGCAGCTAGGGACACCCTTGAAGATTTAAGTTATTGGGAGTCAACTGTGCCATTAAGTTAAGATTATTTTAAATTAGTTTTTAGTGGTTTTATTAGTGCTGGGCACTCAAATAACCATTTCATTGCTGCTGGCTGGGGTAGCTTTCAATAAAGCTTGTAGTATTTTATTCTGAATTGTCAGTATTCATCTCTTGTTTTTTTATTGAAAACAAACACAAACAAACAGTTCATGACAAGACTCTAAGACTGTATGACCCTTTAACCCCAGGAGTGACTAATAGCAAATTTTTTCCTCGCAGTATCAATACTGAATCAAATATTGAGGTTGTAGGAATAAAAGAAATGATCACCAACTTGAGGAGCTCTTGATTGCTAAAGAAATTCGTGTTACCAGCCATCTGACGAAGAGCTAATGCTCAAAGCGTCAGCTTCAAGATCCTTCACATTAACCAATTTAAATTATCAATTCAGTTGATAAAACCAAAATTACCTTTTTTCAAGTAATACTAGCCTGTTCCAAGCATTCAGTCTGTAATATGAAGAGCAATAGTAAAATAATGGTGTGTGGTAGTGGCTGAGCAAAGAAACCAGACAAGTTTTGGTTGTATGTGACCCCACCCAGACCTTCTTTTTTGCTCAGCTGCTACTGATGCACTGTGCATTTCTTTTCCTACGTTTTACTACCCTAATTCCTGGGACAGGCTATAGTGATACAAGGTTAAGCTAAAATAAAATGAATGACCCAAATTTTTCAACATAATTATATGTACAATAAATTTATCAAAAAATAGACTGAGAGGTTCAATTCAGAAGTTAACCCTTCTCACCCTAAGAGTGACCAGCATCTAATTTCTCCTTACAATATCACCCCTGAATCACATATTAAGGTCAGGAGAATAAAGGAAATGATCACCAACTAAACAAACTCTTGATTGTTAAATAAATTCTCCTTAACAGCATCTTGGGAAATGTATAGAGAACAGTATGGAGAATATGCATACTGATGTTAGGATGTGAAAGGGCAAGTGTCTCGCTAAAATTTCATCAGATTTCAGTCATAAGTCTTAATACTGTTAAACTACTGGTGGATTGTGTGTGATGATTGATTCAGATTGATAATGATGCATTTATTTATAGGGCAAGCTCCATATCAATATGCTCTTGTGCATTGTCGAACTTTTTTAACAAACAAAATTAATTAAAGAAGAATTTAGTCAATATTTTGAACCCTTCTTTCTAACAACCAAGAAAGAAGTCTTGTGAAACAAAAGTAATGGCAAGTTGGTGCTCAAGATGGATGGGATGTGGAAAGCTGGTCATTGTTGATCTGGATTCTGTATGGTCAATGTAATTTTATAAATAACTATTTTTTTAAATTCCATTTGGTAGTTAACTATAAATGGTATTGTATGTTCCTTTTTTCAATCATCCAAGTACACTCCATATTCCTTTCTTAGCCTGATCTGCAAAGGAAAATGGAATTCAAAAATTTCCAAATCAATCAGTAAGTGAATGAGCAATTAATCTGAAGAAAGGGGATTGCACTGACAGTGTTTAGGCTGCAGTTAAGGCTAAGTTTCCATGTCAAGAAAATGGTTACTTCAAGGAGGATTCACCATTCAAACCTCCATCCAGTGAAATCTTTGCCTCAAATGCCAATGCAACATGTCCAAAATTTCATTACCTGTCAGAATGATATTTGTCCATTCCATTTTCAATCTGCATGCCCCCCTCAATCCCCCCCCCCTCCCCCGTTATTGAAGGCCTGGTATTTCTGAGGGGAAGGAGGGAATCTCAATATGATATTTACCGTGAGGGTCAGCCTATATAACACAAGGGCCAAGGAATAAAATTTCTGAGGGGGGGGAGGAATGGGAACATAAAATTCTAAGGGGGATAGTACTGTTGTGCAGACTATCTTAAAGTTTCCATTGGGGTATGAAGTACTTTGGTTAGAAATTCCTACGAGCGTATCAGAAGGGGATTCAGAAATTTCTCTTCCGAAGAGGTATCACAGGAAAGCCTTCAATAGGAGGGGGGTATGGCTTGAAAACAGAATGCTCATTTGTTAGAATTGATGTGGTAACGGTGAACTTACAGTTGCTTTACGGTAACAATTCCAGTATTCTCTTTGTTTTGCACTACACGCGCTAAACCAGCTTTGCTTCATGCACCTATGAACGGCTTTATTCTCTTCTGCACAAGCTTCCATAGCCCTAGAAGTACACGAATAAAGAAATCGCATGAAAAATCTTGATCAAACTGTGGTGTCGATCGAGGTCAAAACTAATATAATGTTGTTAGCTTTTTCATCCATTATTTCAAACACTACGACACAGATTCCCCTTAAATCACTTACATAGCTTTGACCACATATCGAATTAAATCCTTGTCACTTTTTGGCTCCACACCTGAATTTAACCGGCCTCTAACAAAAACATTTTTGGAGAAAGCATTGTCCAGTTTCTCCATTAGCTCGTCCATGTTTGATCAATATTCATCCCCTGTACTCCCTAGACAGTTTTGAGCTTAGTAACCTCTCTTCTCTCACCTGAGTATTCAAAATGGCGGCTGAAATGGCTAAGACGAACCAAGACCTCTCTCGATAGATTTTAGCTCCAGTTGTGCCTTGTAACGAAAATGTCTCGACAAAATGCCAGCGAAGGTTTCCGTCAGAAGGTGAAGCAGTTCTTTGGCGTGAGAAAAGGCCATGCCATCCCAAGTAGCGTTTATGAAGGTCCAAAAGCTGACGATCAAGTCTTCCACCAAGAATTGCTGCAGGTACACTTACCCTTACCCCAGTGAAACCTAGCATTTGATAAGTTTATAAATATTTGCTAATAAACTTTATAGACGAGCTGAGCTGAAGTAAACAGGTACACTGTATTCTCTATTTTGCTCATCATATTTAAATAATTATGCAGGAGGTAAAGATATTTGTGCGAATCTGAAATAAAATTATTTTAAAATGTTGCTTGACACCTCGGATGTGTTTAACTTATTGTTGCACTGTTGTAGGATATTGGCAAGAACAGTCCTTTATCAAACCGTATGAAGTATTTAAGGGATCTGTGTGACTTTCTGATCAATAAACGGGTGGAAGATGTAAGTATGATGCTTAGCATCGAGTTGGAAAATTGTACAATTTAGATATTCTTTGCCACTTAAATGTTCCCTCACTTTCCCAGTATCGCCTCTGCTCTTCTTGCCCCTGACACATCATGGTGTTTGCCGGACTATGTCCACTAACCCTTTACACTGGTACCCTGACATCTGTATGCATTAAATCTCCACACTGTTCTCTATACATTTCCTAAGGTGCTGACAAGGAGAATTTTTTTGACAATCAAGAGCTTCTTAAGTTGGTCATAGTTTTCTTTATTCTCACGACCTTTATGTTTGATTCAGGGGTGATATTGTAAGGAGAAATTAGATGCTAGTCACTCTTAACTAGAGTCAAAGGGTCAATGAATGCAGACTCAGTAGTGTACTTGGTTTGCAGCATGCTATTGAAGCAGCTTGGGATGCAGTCAAGGACCTTCTCAATCCAAGCAACCCTATGGAGGCAAGACATCTGACTCTTCAGTTTCTCACGGTGATGATATCTGGACAGGTACATGTCTTGATGGTTTCTTTGCAACAGATTCTTTTTATTCCAGGAGAAAGAGAGAAATATAGGGGTCTGTTACTTAGTTCAGTTCAGTGTATGAATTTTGCTGCATGTACACGCATTATGCATTAAAAGAAAAAATATTTCACTACAAAAGAGTAACAAGGCAAAATATATGTAGCTTATGGATTAGCCAATAAGGGTTCTATTAAACAGCATTGTTACTTTTAACCTGGCCTTTACACCCTAACATCACTATATGCGGCATATTCTCCATACTATTCTCTCTACATTTCACAAAATGCTGATAACAATGAGAATTTGTTTAACAATCAGTAGCTTTGTTGGTTGGTGATCATTTTCTTTATTCTCGTGACCTGAATGTTTGATTTAGGGATGATATTGTAAGGAGAAATTAAATGTAGCATATAATTAGTCACTCTCAGGGGTTCAAGGATTAATAGATCATTCCAAATTTGAATAATTAATTCTTGATTCTGTACGTAATTGGCAGGACTGCTCATATAAGAAAATAGCCATTAACTAGAAGTATAAAAGAGTAGAAAAAGGATGGAAAAGAAGTAATTTTCCTCCTTCTGAAACAGAACAGTGGACATGTTTATGATCACTTTAGGAAGTTATAGATTATTGTAATCACAACTGCAGTTATCTTTTTGATGTACACATTAAAATAGTAACTGAATTTAGATTGATTATTTTTTTCCTTTTTTTGCAGTTCGGCAGAATTGGTATTTTAAGGGCTCATTTCTTCTCCGTAGTGGTGAATCACAAGATTCCTGAGGATATCACACCCAGGTTTAAGCTATCGTGCTTACATTAAAAATCTTAGTTATAATCATTATAATCTTGATGTACTGCTATTTGATCAATACAATAATTTTTTTGCTGTTATTGTTGCCTACAAAGTAACAATTATTTAAAATAACTCAGTCTAAATTATCAGACCATTAAAACATAATAAGTAATGTTACATTCATTTGTTGGTAATAAAAAAATTAATGTGCACTTGAACTATTTTTTGCTATCGGAGAGATGAAAATAGAATGTCAAGAATGTAAATTTATTCAAATTATCAGAAATTACATTAATTATAATAATTATTTATGATTATGATCTCTTTATAATAATCAGCTAGCAATATTAATCCTGGCCCATTAATAGCTACAGCCTGAGAATGAGGTGGTTCCCTTGTGGTGCATTTAGGACTGTTTGTGAACTAAATATTAATCATGGCCCAATAATGGCTGCAGCTTAAGGATAAGGTGGTTCCCTCATGGTTTATTTAGGACTGGTATTGAGCAAAAAGTTGTTAAATTTGACCATGTAAATTATTTGAAATTACTAGGTTGGAATTACTACAAGCATTGAGTGATAATGGAAAAGATATTTCATACTTTGAGGAAAGGACTGGTAGGGAACAAATTTAAATTATTTGACTTTTAGAAGTTAAACATGTAATATGCACAATGGAGACAGCAGTGTCCAAAGTTTTCTGTGATTGCTGGTTTTGCATCACTGTAGAAACTCCGCACCTTGCTCAGGTTAGTTTCACTGTCCTTGGAATCACTCAATTCTCCTCTCCTTTGAAAATATTTCAGGCTCTCAAGTTAGCCTGACCATACAGCTGACTTAATTACACTGCTGTCAGCAGCCTAATGGAAAAAGTTAGTGAAACCCCTGTATTGATAAATGTTTTAAGATGTGATGTGTACAGTGCAATTTTAAATGCGGTTGATCGGATTCTATGGGTGATCCTACAGTATGGGTGATACAGTCATTTTATTTGCCAAAACCACTTCACAACTTCATTTAAATCTTTAAAGTATTCTTTCTTGATTTTTGAAAGGTCCTTTTCTGTTATCTTGGATGCCAGAAGTGATGCAAAATGGCAGGTCAGTATTTAACATTTACCTTCAGTTGATACTGCAAGGGTCTCTTAATTAGTTTGTAAGAAAAGGAGTTGTCTTGTAATCATTATTCAATGTTGCATATAAATTACTGTTTGTACCAACTCTAGTAAAAGCAAAGAAATTATTGGCAGGTTTTGAATATTTTCCATTAACTCTGAATATAGTGAACCCCACTAATTCAAACTCACAAGAGAAACCAAAACATTTTTGGAGTTAGCAAGGATTCAAGTAAGCTGATAGTAAATGACTGAAAAAAATGGTTCAGGGGTTAGGGGTGGGGGTTTGAGCTAACCAAGTTTGAGTTAGCAAGGTTCTACTTTTAAATTTTCACCACACTGTGTCAACTAACATTAAACTCCAGTTTTCCATTTCCTGTGAGTAAAAGAGCTTGCACACCATCACAATCTCTGCCAAAGTTGTAACTTGTGTTTTAAGCAGGTCTTCCCTGTATGAAATGTTCTTAGAAAAAGTTTCACATAAGGTGACAACCCCTGATTTTACAGGTCTGATATGTTGTTTCAAGGGCGTAGCCAGGGGGGGGGTTGTGGGGTGCCCACGACCTTTGAGCAAACAACCTACAATATTCAGGTGGTGAAAATGCCATGACAATATCTTAGCCTGCCCATTATACTGTCATTGCTCATCCCAAAACATGCACGGCATGGAGGTCGACATGACAATCTGGTGAGTAGCCTCTGTGACCCCTCCTTTGAAAACTCCTGACCACACCCCTGTGTTTGTTTGTCGTATCTTATTGATAGCAGTTTTAACTCGTGGTCTTTTAATGAATTCTGTTTTTCCATCATGCCAACAGAATGAATGTTTTCATGCCTCTTCTTATCAATGTAATTCACTACAACTCAAGTTTTCTTGATGAGGACATTGTTTCTGGCATTGTCAGGTAATCTGAAGGATATGTTTTGAATAAATAATTTAAATCACTGAAAACATGTAAATCTCCTTTAATGAAAAAACCTGGTTTTCATTGAGTCCAGCAATATTTAAAGCTAGCATGCACTCATTATTAGCACTTTGGCACAAATATTTTTTCAGCAGCACACACCAGCAGGAGGTCTGCAGGGGCCTAGCCCTGAGTATTCATTCCCCCCCCTTGGCAAACTTCTTCCAGATGCATCTCAAAATTAATCTTCTTTAGTGGAAGCAAGATATGTCTAGCAGCACTAGCATTCAGGGCCTGCTTGCAGACTACCATTTACCAAATTCTTTTTGGGTCTTAAGTACTAATTAACACAACTGAATTAAGGAAGCAAAACTGTGACCATAGTGACACTGTTAGTAATGATGCTTATTTCACAATTTTGTAATTTGTTTCCTTCCAGGGAAACCTGTCATCTGTCAAGAACAACTAAAGAGGAAGGAGAAGTTGAGGTTATCATCAGTAATTTTGTTTCATCAAAATTCGCTATTATGCTTATACAGTAATATCAAGTACCTTGCTTTGATACAAGGGTTGGGAAATGGTAAATTTGAGTCTCAAGAGACATCAAGACCCCTCAATTGAAAATCTGAGATGGTGTATAACCAAAAAAGGGCTCACACTCAAAACCTCAGCATTAGAAACCATTTATGTTGGCCAATGTGCAATTTATATCAACTCAGCTGATTGAACCAAATTATTATATAATACCCCCACCAATATAGCCTCCTTCACAGACATTCTTTGGGCTCGTCACACGATCTTCCTCTCCCACGAACATCTGCTGAAACGAATGGGTTGTTTAATTAGACCAACCACAGCACACTTCCCGATCAAGGCAGCGAACTCTGAACCTTGATGAATTTTCTCTTGTTGACGTGATGGTGTTTCTTGGGCATTTAGCCAAGTGCTTCCGCCGAGTATATCATAACTTTCACCTATTGTTTGGTCATTTTCAGCGTTAGAAGATGTAGAAGTGGTAGGGGATTGTTAAAATTTCAGTGATTTCACTGCAGATCGTTGCTGCACTTTTAAAGCTGTTGTAAGTTCAATCGGCACGTCAATGTTCTCAATGTCCCCGTCCTTTTCAGCGGAATTTCGACGTAAGCATTTCGTTCTATTTGCCACTTTCTTGAAGTCTTCCTTTATCTCATCCTGAAGGGATCACAGATTTGTTTTAGCTTTTTCAAAACGAAGTAACCGCTTGTAGTACTTATTGCAGACGAACGGTCGCTGGATGAAAACACACTCAAATCTGTTTGCACAGGGCATTCAATTAAGTGTGCAATATCCACTGAACTCTTACCAAGTACTCTTATTCTCGCCTGCGGGATTAACAAAAAACTGCACAGAAAACAGTTTTATCCGACGATTTTTTTCGGAGTTTCTGAAGCAAGGTTTTGAGATCTGTTTTCCATGAGTAATAAGAAACACGAGAAAATTAAACCCCCTCTTGGGAGTTGTTCTATCACAGCTTATGATTGGCTTTCTATTAAACAATAACCAAGTGCCAGTTGGCTCTTCGGTGATCTCCACATGCTCTCCATCTGATCTGTTTGAACAAAGGGAAAAGAATGTGCTCATTTGTTTCAGCAGACGTTCGTGGGGGAGGAAGATTGCGTGACGAGCCCAAAGAACATCTGCATAGGAGGCTACCACCAATACAGCACCACAGTTTCATTTATTCAGAAACTTCTCCATTTTATGCCAGTTGTAGCACCACAACTCCTTCCTTAGTCTATTTTATGATGTAAAAATTGCTTTCTCACTAGTTTTTTAATTTTTTAACTTTTATTCTGTAGTTGTGCCTGTGTCTGTTGGATGCTGTGGTCCGTTACAGTTGTCTGCCATCCAATACATTGTTTGAGTTCATAGCCACAGCCTGCAGGGCTGTGAATATTGAGAAGTTTTGTCAGCGTAGTTGGAAGGTACGAACCACTGTCAGGAGAGCAGTAAATGTTAGCTCTCACCTGCATGTACTTTTCCAACCTCTGGGGAATACTGCTACTCAGATATTGTGGGTGAAAAAGAGAAGATTTTTTTTTTTGACAATTCATTGACTTGAACTGTGATTTTTTTTCTTCTTTTTTCGCTGTAGCTGACACTAGCTGCATTATATGTTTATGATAATACACCCACACAATCCGTGCCCTCTCTCTCTCATTTGTAAATCTTTATTTTACCACAAAGTCCAGTAGAGGGGGATTTTAGATGCAGTTAATGCAATTTAACAGAGTTAACAACAAAGAGCATCAGCATATCCTATTGTAATCATTTTTTTTTTTCTTGGCTTGATTTTTCTTTGTAATAATATACAGTAGCTAGGTCATTAGTAGGCAAAGAGTTACCTTGTGGAAGTACTACTAATAAATTCGTTTTTATTATAATTATTATTATTATTATTATTATCATTATCAGCACTCTCTAGTGGTCAGTAGTTGCATGTGCGCATGTGTAGGAATTCCATGTAGTGTTCATATGAGGTGTTTGTGTGCCTTGAGCATGAACTTGCAATGTTGCGAGGAGTGGCAGTTCATTGTCAGCAAATTTTCTCCCTCTTTCCACTGTTTATTCAGTGTGTTGGGTGCCTGTTTCCCTCTCCTGTATGGGGACTCATGGCTGGGTTACCAGGATTTGCCAGCCATGGGAAAAGTCTCCATCTAGGAGCTGGCTGCCAATAGTCAAAGCTCCTGGATGTTTCAGGCACCCAACCTTCACATAGCAATGGAGTTGTTAATCTGGGAAATCCTCAAAATGTTTGTGCCTCTCACAACATTTTGATTGTGCTTCTTACAACAAGATTTCCCTCTGTAATTAAATTTTATCCTTCTATTTCAGATAATGAGAAATTTGCTGGGAACTCATCTTGGTCACAGTGGAGTGTACACCATGTGTAATGTTTTGGAAGACAGGTAGAGACTAACCAAAATCATTACCAACTGTGCATTGTATTTTCCTCCACATTTTCAGCAATATTATGGCATATTCAAGATTATCACACATAATGAATAAAGGCTGATAGTTTCTAAAGAAACTGTTTGGGGCTGCATCGGTGGGGGTAACGAAATAATTTGGATATATCAACAAAATTGAAATGGTAAATTGGCCACTGTAACGATTACAAAAGCTGACGTTTCGAGCGTTAGCCCTTCGTCGGAGCGAATGACGAAGGGCTAACGCTCGAAACGTCAGCTTTTGTAATCGTTACGGTGGCCAATTTACCATTTCAACTTTGTTGATTTATCACACATAATGTCATCTGAATATTTTGCCTGTTTTAATTTGTGCAGATGTTTCAGATCGAAGTCCAGAATCAAATCCTCTTAAATGTAAAAAGTTTCCTTTGTTCCCTTTCTCCTCTCATGCATGAATCTCTCTTTGCACCCACCTATCAACTGTGTTAGTGCTTGTCTATAAAGCAAAACAAAAAAATGATGCCTGTTTTGCAGGCTCACCAATACTAGGAGAGGCACTAATTTGAGGATTTTCAGTATGGGTCATCATAGCATGATATTTAACAATTATTCGCCGAAGGCGAGGTGAATATCGTCGAATAATCCCCGAGACAAAGTCGAGGGGATTATTCGACAATATTTACCGAACCTGAGGCGAATAATTGTTTTAGTATAATTTCAGAGCTGAACGACGGAGAAATTTCTAAAATCATAACATTTTAGTAACATTTATTAACATTTTGTTTTAACATTTTATATAAACCGCGCGGAGCAGTTTATATAGCGTCATATAAGGAACCGCTTGACCAATCAGATTGCTGGAAACTCTTTGCTCGGCTGT